TTTATTCAGCCAGTCGACTTCAAAGATGGGCAATAATTCTGTCTAATTACGATTTTGACATAAAGTATGTCAAAACAACTGCTTTCGGAAAAGCTGATGTTCTTTCACGGTTAATTGCAAATTACCCACGTCCAGAAGAAGATATTTTGATTGCAAATATCAGCGCGGACACCGAATGTTTCGTGAACAATGTTTTTGGAACTGTCACGAATGATCTGCCAATTTCCGCGAATGAAATAGCCCAAGAGACAGAAAATGATGTGATTCTTCAGAAATTGTTACTGCAAATTAGAGGAAACTGGGAAGTGTGTAAAGATACAGATCTGCTCCCATATTTTCCAAAAAGAAGAGAAATTTCTGAAATTAAAGGATGTTTAATCTATGGTCAAAGAACGATTATTCCAGAAAAACTGCGCTTGAAAATGCTCAAGGCACTACATTTTGCTCATCCTGGAATAGTAAAAATGAAACTGCTAGCTAAAGAGCATGTTTACTGGCCAAAAATGAATTCTGACATTGAAAGATTGGTTAAAGAATGTCAAAATTGCCAAGAAACAGCAAAAGTTCCAATTAAAGCAAAATTAGCACCTTGGAAAATTACTGAAGAAGTATTTCAGCGTGTGCACATGGATTTTGCAGGACCATGCATTGATGGATACACATATTTACTGCTAGTAGATTCGTATTCAAAGTGGCCAGAAGTTTTTCGAATGGCAAATATTTCGGCGAAAGCTACAGTCGATACGCTTCGCACCGTCATTCATCGTCTAGGGATTCCAAAAGAATTAGTTTCGGATAATGGAACTCAATTCCGATCGGCCGAACTAGCAAAATTCTGCAAGGAATACGGAATAAAACATACGTTTACACCACCGTTCCATCCGCAATCGAATGGACAAGTAGAACGTTTTGTGGATACATTCAAGAGAGGCATGAAGAAAGCTAAAGAAGATAAATTTTGGTGCGAGAAGATGCTACTTGCATATCGTTCTACACCACATACAGCTTTAAATGGATGCTCTCCTGATCAGCTATTTCTAGGTCGACGCTTGAGAACGAAAATTTCACTAGTTCATCCAGAAGGATTGAAATTGAAAAAGACGAAATTTTCTGCTTCTGAGAGAAAAGAATATACTCAGAAGATGGCAAAGCAATTCGACAAGAAACATGGGTCTAAGAACATTGAATTCAGCAATGGAGAAGCTATCTATGCGCTTAATTACAGATTTGGAAAAACGCATTGGCTTCCAGGAGAAATTATTTCAAAAGTTAAGAATTCTCCAACTTACCGAGTCTCGATTCCCTCGATAGGAAGAAACGTTCATCGCCACTGCAATCAGCTTAGAAAAAGATTACAAGTGATTGAAACAGAAGTTATGGCGCATGAAGATCAAGAAGTGCAACGCCAAGCTAGGACTCCCATTCAGAAAAGTCCGGCTAAAGAAAAGAATAATTCCGAGACTAGGCGTCACCAAATCGAGCGAGACCAGAATGTTCAAAAGACTCCCAAACGTTATCCCAATCGAGACCGAAGACAAGTCCACCACTTTGACATGGACCCAAAGAAGAAGAGATATGAAAAGGGAGATTAAAAATCTTAAGAAGGGAGATGTTAGAGATGTGAGACTCTAAAGAACAAAATTTGAATTGACCTAATCGACATTATGACATATTCCCTTCCCGCTCATTTATGTGTATTTAAGCATTTCCCTTTTCCCTCTTTTTGTTCGTTGTCTTTTCTCAGTCTCATTCCCATATTTATTAAGTGACTCGGTCACAATCAAATTGTTTATTTTATTTATTTAAAATAAACTTTATTATTATTCTTAAATTGTGTTATTGGGGAGAAACACAACATGTAGATAAATTTTAATGTAGATAATTTTAAATGTAGATAATTTAAATGTAGATAAAACTGCTCCAATAATTACCAAACTATGTGTCCATAGCATTCAGATCTGGGGAGTTATTTGGCTAAATGTCTTTGCCCCAAAATCCTTGAAACAACTCTTCGCAGAGTTGAATCATTGTTTTTGCTCAATGTGAAGGGGCCCAATACTGCTGCGGCATAAAATTGGTTTTATCTAAGTATTGCTGTGCCCTGGAATGCAATGGAACACATCCCGGCCAAAACCATTGTTGATGTGCCCAAGGATCCATTGTTTTTGTGCCCAGTGATCCAGTGGCATAAATCCCGGCCCACACCATTACAGATTGTCGAGAGAAGCTTTTTTTAACAATTTTGGAAGCAAGGCCTTTCCTTGGAAGCAATTGCCTATGATTTTGTCTGTTGTGAAAGGTGGGGGTGTAACTATACTGGGATTCAATTATTGTGGATGAGTGCGCGACAATGGTGGGCAAATTTAGTAAGCGTTTGGACGCGTATATCTTGGCGGAGGGAGGACATTTTGGACATCTGTTATAATTTTTCTTTTCATTAGATATTAATAAACAATTTTTTATAGATTTTATAAAATCTAAGAAGATATTTGAAATAAATTTTATGTTTAATAAAAGTACGGGAACTTTTGCCGCACCCTGTATATAGCAGTTAAAATCTCTAAAAGAATAATATACGCATAAAAACTTTTTTCTTTCAAAAAAATTTAATTTCTCTTTATTTTTTCCTCATTTCACTCCAATATAAAATTTTTCATCCCTCTAACAAAAATAATACATAGAAGCTAAATAATAAATAAAAGAACTGTTCAAACAAAGTAAAAAATTTTTTGCCAGCTTATTATCATCGTTATAGCAATACGACGCCAAAAAATGTCATCAGTCTGAAAATTTTTTATAAAAATTTATTTTAATCAATTTAAAAATTTTTATTTAAATTAGGGTTGGTCCCCGACCCCGACTAACCCCGACCCCGACCCCGAACCCCGACACTTTTTGACCTAAAACCCCGACCCCGACCCCGACATTCCCAACCCCGAAAACCCCGACCCCCGAAAGTTCGACCCCGACGACCCCGAACCCCGAAGAATTTTTATGACCCCGACTCAAACTGCATTAATTAACTTTTATATATTTTTTTGTTGGCATTCTGCTAAAATTCTGATAAAACAAAAGAAAGAAAAGACAACTAAAAAAGAGGAAAAGAACTATTTTTATTTTTCTCTATTCACAGAGAATATTTTCCTGACAAAATTTAAACTAGCTTTTTCTATTCATAGTTTGGTTATACACAACTCATTTTGAATTTGTAATTTTATATAGGTCTTTAGATTTAATTATAAATTATATTAAAATGTCAACTAAATCTTCTGATATTTGGAATTTTTTTGTAAAATTACCAATGACTGATGAATCAGCTAGGTGCAAGCTTTGTGAAAATAAATTTTCTTGTAAAAAAAGTTCAACAAAAGGTTTATGGGACCATCTTAAGTCTATGCATTTGGCAGAATATGAGAAGTTTTTGCAAAAGAATACATCAACATCAGTAAGAGCAAACTAATAAAATAAGATTTTTTATTAACAGACTAATCTGGATATATCAAAATTTCTTGGTAAGGATGAGCCTCAAAAAAAAGCAGATGAAAAAATTGCGGCACTTATGCTTCGCCAAAATTGCTCTTTTTTATTTGTCGAAGCACCTGAATTGAGGGATCTTTTTCAACGTGCATATCCGAATTTAACAGTTGCTTAATTTTTATAATCATCATTAACATATTTTTAGTTACGTCGAAGAAATTATTTTAAAAGAACTGTTATTCCTTCAATGGCAGAAGAAATTAGGCTTAAAATTACTCAACGAATAGGAAACGATAAATATGCTTTGACATCTGATGGTTGGTCACAGGTGACAAAGTCACCAGCACTTCTCAGGTTTTATTAGTTTAATTTTTATAAAAATAAAACACGTTAAGTATAACAGTGCATCACTTAAATTCATCATTCGAACGAGACGATTTCGTGTTCGATGTTGTGCCTATGGATAGTCATACGGGAGAAGATATTTGTGCTTCAATTGAAAAATCATTAAAGGATAATGGATTAAATAAGGAAAATGTTGTTTGCTTAGTAAGAGATGCAGCGCGAAATATGGTCAGATCATGCAATTTATTGGAACTAAACAGGTTTTTAATTTTTATAATTAAAAAATTTAAATTAGTTTTCAATGTGTTTGCCATATGCTTCATTTGACTATGAATGATTTGCTAGAGACAAAAGAATTGAAGGCGTTTATCGCAAAAATTAGATCATGGGTCACCTTTTTTAGAACAACAAAAGGATCAAAAATACTTACAAAAACTCAAGAAAATTTAATGTTAAAAAACAAAAAATTAATAGCTTCTTGTCCGACTAGATGGAATTCCTGTTTCGCAATGCTAAAGGAATTCCGCGATCAAAAAAAAAGTAATTATGGCTATAGAAGGCGAAAGAAGAGGTTTTGCTGCAAATCAAGCGAAAAGAGCAAAGACGGATTACATTCCTGAAAGTTTACCAAGTCTTGATATGTCTGATTTTGAATTATTGCGTGCTATATGCCCAATTATGGAAATATTTAATAAAGAAACCGAGAAGGTTGTTTCTAGTCTAATTTTGTTAAATATTTTTATATTTAGTTTTCCAAGGAGACTTCATCTGCTTCAACTGTAATTTCGACACTTAAACGTTTAAGAGATTTTTTACAGGTTTATATTAAATTTCTTTTTCAATTTTCATTTTCAAAGGAACAAAATTTCTCAAATCGTGTTGCTCCATTTGTGCAAATTCTTATTAGATCACTAAATGATCGTCTTCCAGAATTGAGTCATAATACGATATTAAGAATTGCCATGCTTCTAGACCCGAGATTTGCTTATAGTGATTTATTTCCGGGGGAAACATGGAAAAGTATTGAACAACAATTTATTGAATTTGCCAAAGAAGGTAAATTTACTTTTGATTTAATGAAGTACCTTTACATTTTTATAGAATTATTGGTTGTTAATTCTGCAGCAAACTTGGAGCCAGTGTCATTTGACCTAGAAGAGGAAATTTTATCTGAAGAAGCTGAATCAAGTGATCATTTAAGTACAAGCAGCGATGAGAAATGTATTTTTGCCATTAAAAATAAACTCACTAAAATTTAGATGATATTTGGGCAAAACCTAAATCCCCTTGTACTTCTACATTGCCAAATACAACAATTTCTGGTGAGGAGTCAGCAGATTTTGTGTCAAAGATTGAATCGCAATTGTCACAATATAAAGCCTGGCAGCGTGTTCCAGTTGATAGTGATTTATTTTCATGGTGGAGAGATAATGGGAAGTTCATTCCTGAAATGGCTAAAATTGCTCAAATGTTGCATTGTATTCCCGCAACTTCCATTTGTTCTGAGAGGCTTTTCTCGAAAGCGGGACTTATATATGCTAATACTCTCAGGAATAGGTTTTATTTATTTGTGATTAAAAAAATAATAATTTTAGATTGTCAGGAAAAACTGTCAGGCAAATACTCGTAGTAAAAGCTAACTTGGATAAAGTACTTCTTGCGCCTTCAAATAATATCGAATCGGATTCAGAAAGTGAAGATAATGATAATGAAGATTAAGTTGATTTTTTTATAAAAATGTTGATTTTGAACAGTAATGTTTGATAAAAATGCTGGATTTTGTAAATTTTCACTTCAACCCCGACCCCCGACCCCGACCCCGAACCCCGACATTATTTTCAGCCCCGACCCCGACCCCGAACAATTTGAGCAACCCCGACCCCGACCCCGACTTTGTCAACCCCGAAAACCCCGACCCCCGACTTTTTCAACCCCGAAGGCTCGGGGACCAACCCTAATTTAAATCATAAATTAAGTATGAAAAATAAATATCAGAAATTATGTTTTTATATTTTATGTATTTTACTTGGCAATCCCGGAGAATTGGGGTCCCTGCGGAAAAAAATCTTAAAAATAAGAAAAAGGATTTTTCTAGGGTAAAAAAATATGCTGATTACGAATCCGAGCTCAGATTTTGAAAAAGTCGAATCCCGAACCCGAATTCGGACTTTTGATCCCGAACAGGATTTTTGACCCCTAACATTACAGACATTGTACAAAATGGCCAGTCTTTCAATAGAATCATAGAACTCATCGAGCTGTGTCGAATGACACCAAAATCAATGTCCGACCGGATTGAACCGAGATACAGACCCCTAAATATTGAAAAACCACATGGGTGATTTTTTTGGAGTAAAAAAAAGTTTTTACAAATGAAAGCTCATTCGAAAGAGCTCGTCGAGCTGAATCGAATGACGCCAAAATTACAGTGATTGATCAAGTTTTGACAAAGTTATGACATAAGTCGCCGACTCCTACAGTACTCCCATAGGTATACTTTATGTCATAACTTTGTCTAAACTTGTCCAATCACGTTGATTTTGGTGTCATTCGATGCAGCTCGACGAGCTCTTTCGAACGAGCTATCATTTGCATATTCGAAATTCGGGTTCAGGGTTCGAAATTTGGTTCGGGTTCGGGATTCGACTTTTTCAAAATCTGAGCTCGGATTCGTAATCAGCATATTTTTTTATCCTAGAAAAATCTTTTTTTTTATTTTTAAGATTTTTTCCGCAGGGACCCCAATTCTCCGGGATTGCCTTTTACTTTTTACATTTAAACACAATGATAACCGTATCAGCTATATATTATGGAAGTGGTAAGAATTTAAAATTTGAATAGTAAATTGGATTGAAATAAATCTAAGGTGGGTCTCGGAATAATATAGATTTTATCCAAATTTAGAATAAAACTTTTAAAGACTTCTAAGAATTCGACATTCATTTACATTAATTTTCAAATAAATATTTATATTTAATTATAGGCATTCAAAATTCTGGTATGGGATTTGACGGCCAATATGGAATGTCACCAATTTCTTCTTATGGGTTGGACTTTTCAATTTAAAATAGGTTTTTAAATTTAATATTACATTAAAATACATATTAATTTTATTTACAATTAAGCAATCAAATACCAAACTTTGGCTATGGTTCACAAATTTCTTCTATGTCTTATCCTGGCTATTTGGGAGGTTACTTATATATACTCTTAATAAAAATATAAGTTTTGATTTAACAGGTTTTATGAGTAATACTATGAATGGAATTGGGGGAAGTAGTGGATTTGGAGGTTTTGGTAATGGTCTAGGAAGTCTTGGCAGCCTTGGAGGATTCGGAAATGGGTTAGGAGGTCTTGGTGGGATTGGTAGCTATGGTAGCAGTTTTGGCGGAATTAGTGGCCTTGGTAATGGTTTTAGTGGACTTGGTAGCCTTGGCAATAGCCTTAGTGGACTTGGTGGCTTTGGTAATGGTTTTAGTGGATTTGGTGGCCTTGGCAATAGCTTTAGTGGACTTGGTGGCTTTAGTAATGGCCTTGGTGGACTTGGTGGCGTTGGAAATGGTTTAAATGGATATAGTGGCCTTGGTAATGGCTTTAATGGACTTAGTAACCTTGGCAGTGGCCTTAGCCGTGGTGTTGGTGCCCTTGGCAACATTGGGACTGGGAATCTTGCTGGACTTGGTAGTTTTGGATTAGGAAGTCTCGGTGGCTTTGGTGGTATTGGAAATAACGGTTATGGAGGCCGAAAATGATTAAGGATATAAGAAATAAACAAAATTGGAACAATAAAATACCTAAACATAAAATTATTTTAAATAAATTACCACAATCCATTCTTAAATATCAAATTAAAGTTTTATTATTGTAAATTTGTGTATAGTTTAGATTTAGATGGGTGACTTAAAGCTTTTAATAATACAATTATAGTAAATAAATGATTCACTAAACAAATGTCTCTCAAATTAGTTAAAATTTTCTATAATTAGATAAAGTTTAAATTGTTTTAATGACGAATAAAAACGAACTTTCTAAATATAATTAAAATAACATGTATTTTATAGTATGACGTAATTAATTTAACAATAAATACTAGAACAAATTAAATTTATGTTAGTATATAAAAGTAATAAAATATTGACAATTGATTGAGAGTAAAAATAATAAAATTTAAAATTATTTTCAATTAAAATGATCAGTTGTGATGAATATTTTGGAAATGCTGAGGAAATGGAAGCTGCTTTATTGTCACTCTTCCCGCCATTATAATAAATGATTATTATCTGAATAATTATCTCAAGGAAAAAACAACGATCTCTATTATGTATTTGTGTATAAGAAATGGAAGATGAAAAGAAAATAAGATAATTTTCAATTAAAATAAACTGCTGTGATCAATACTTTGGAAATGTTTTTTAAATTGTTTAATTTTTGATAATAATAAATTAATTGTACATTATTTCCTCAATTAATTGTCCTTTCTCAATTAGTTTCCTCTAACAGGTCTAACAGGACATCAAGAGGGAGAGAAAATTAGGTGTTTTCTGTTTGCTTCATACCTATTTTTCTTCTCTTTATTTTATAGAAATGTAGTTGAGGTATTCTGACATTTTTGGTGGTTTTTAAATAATTTTTGAGAACTTCAGGCGGCGAAATAGTCCGAAGTAGGAAATTAATTCCATTTCCATCAGGAGCCAAAGTTACAAAACTCAAATACCAACCACTAGTTGAACTAATTTGCCGTTAACTTGACACAATGTGCAATTTTTAAAGCTTGCTTTTCTTGGACCTTTTATTATTTACTTTCTAGCATATTTTTTCTCGTCTCCTAGCATTTCTTCTCTTTATACTCTTTTTTAATCAATGCTTTGTAAATCTCTTTGACAAATAAATAAAAATGTACGTTTTGGCTATTTTTTCCCTTAATACATAAATCCACATACTTTAATAGTTAAGATTTTAAAAAACAAATTTTTCATTTAAAATTTTATTTATATTTATGTAAAATAGCAGTATTTCTGCTTCCACGAACTGTCGGATTTAGTGCTATAACAGGAGCATTTTTATGGCTAATTCGTTTTTTTGCTTGCCACGTTACTCTTTTTTTACCTCATTTATTTTTTTTACATGAACACATAAACAATTTTATTTTCTTGTTTACATCTGTAAATAAGGCATGTACATGCACCAAAAAACATATCAATTCTTTAAACTATTAAAAAAGGAATGGATTGATTTTTGTTTGTTATTTTTATTTGGCCTAATCTAATCGTCTGTGTTTATCATTTCAATTTATTTTTTTTTAATTTTATCAATGAGCTTTCCGAAAAATTTTTCTTTTTTATTACCTAAAAATTTATTATTTTTAAATAAAAGATTATTAATAATTAAAACAATAAAGACAACAAAAACTTTATTGACAAAAACAACTTTAACAATGGAAGATACAGAAGATGTTAGGGAGATTATTATTGAACCGGAAGGTCTCTCAGCATTACTTGGAATCCCTTTGGGTGCCCGTTCTATTGTTATTTTCGCCCACGGTAGTGGAAGTGGAAGATTAAGTCCAAGAAATAATTATGTTGCTGCTGAATTGAGGCGGGCAGGGATGGCTACGCTTTTATTGGATTTACTTAGACCTGAAGAAGAGGCTATTCGGCAGAATGTTTTTGATATTCCTCTTTTGGCTTCTCGGCTTAATCGAGCTTCAGAATGGGTGCATTCTAATGTTGAAACAGAAACATTCACACAAGGATATTTTGGGGCTAGGTGGGGAAATTAAGGAAAATTTATATACCGTATTTACTCGAATTCCCCTCCCTTGAATAATTCCCCTCTCTCAAATAATTCCCCCTGGTACGGATAAGTTGAAACAATAAGCCCCCTCCCCAAATACAAAACTCGAATTTCAAAAAATCCTCCCCAAATACAAAACTCGAATTTCAAAACTCGAATAATTCCCCTTCCTTGAATAATTCCCCATGTCGTGGATTAGTTGAAAAAATAATTTCCCAGGGGAATTAATCGAGTAAATACGGTATTTCTGTCATGTTTATTACAAGTTTTTTTGGGGCCGGAAATTATTTTTCACTATTTCACACCTTTATCAAATTATTTCCAGTACTGGTGCAGGTGCAGCTTTAATGGCAGTTGCATCTGCCAATCCAGAAATTAAAATAAAAGCAGTAGTTTCCCGCGGTGGCCGTCCTGATTTGGCTATACCTGTTTTGGATAGAGTAACTATACCTACTTTAATGCTTGTTGGAAGTTTGGATGAGCCAGTTATTGGAATGAATCAAAGGGCAATTGAAGCACTTGTTAATTGCAAAGAAAAAGAATTAATTATTGTTGAAGGGGCAACACATCTTTTTGAGGAAGCTGGGACTTTAGATCATGTAGTGCAACATGCAAAGTACTTATGTTTAATTATTCGAAATAAATTAATTGAATTATTTGATTGAATAATTCCAAACTTTAAGGGTATTTTATAGAAACAAACTAATAATTCTCACTAAAATTATGTAAAATCTGAACAAGTTATTAGGCATTAAATCTAAGTTACCTATTTATAAATTTTATCCACTTTTTATTTCAGGAATTGGTTCCTCAAGTATTTGCTACAATAAGATGGGATTTTTTTTATTTAAATTCGAGAAGATTCCATTTGAATTTGTAAAGATATTTATATAATTTATAAAAATAATTTTAAACTCTTTAAATTTAATCTTTAAATAAAATACTTCAGACTTGCTTGTTTAATTTTAAATTATCATTTTTCATGAAGTACCTAACAATAAGTATATGACAGAATAAACTTGAATATTTTTACATTATCCTTGCAATTCTGATTATATTATAAAGGAGATCTGTTAATTATTTACATATAAGCAAATTATGTATTTAGAGAAGTCTTGGCGGGGAGACCCAGAGATAAGGAATAAGGGAGATTTAGCTGCCTGGATTAAAGAGCTGTTTTATCCATACTTGTTGAATAATTTACTATATGAATAAAAATTTCCATCTTCGAGGTGTCACAAAAAAAACAAACAAATAATACAAAAATATTATTATCGCTACTAGATTAACATAGATTAAAAAAGAAAAGTATTTAGAAATGTTTAAAATTTTTAGGAATAACCAATAAGGTGGGATTGAATCTTGCAGGAATACACGTGTTTTTCAGCCAATATCTATGTATATTCGTGTGCTTAATAATCGATGAAAACCCCAACTTTTTTAAAAATAATTTTGTAAATTTTTTAAATTTTTTAAAATTTTTAAAAAAATTTTTTGAAAATAATTTTGTATATTTATTTGTTTCGAGTGAAAAATAAGTTTGTTGTTCAATATTTTTAAAGAAAAAAGTTTTAAAAATTCGTTAACAATTTGATAAAGGGAATTTTAAGATTAAAAGTATTATCTAATTTTATTTGATCCATATTGTTAGACTTCTTGATTAATTCTAATTTTACCGAAATATCTGAACTTGTTTTAATTTACTTTCTGTATAAGTTTTATTCATTGATTTTATCATTTATTTTATTAAATATATTTTATAACATTCATTCAATTTTTATTATTCAATATGTAGATTTAAATAAAATTTTATTTTTAACTTTTATTTGCTTTTAGTAGTTTGTATTTTGCTGGAAATTGAAATTAAACTTTACATAGAATATTATTTAAATATTTATTAGATAAATATGCATTTTTATAAATTTTATGCGTATAAATATTTTAACATGGAATTTTATGTTAAATTCAAAATATTTAATATTTATCATTTTTGGTGAAATTGGCAATACTATATTAAAATATTTTTATATATTTTTGTAAAAATAAATTAAAAAATTAATGCAAATCCAAATATTATAAAAATAAAATAGAAAATCTCTTAGTAGATGACAACTTCATTCAATTTTTATGATAAATGAATTCTAATATTTCCAAAGAAAATAATGACTGTAATAAAGAATGGCAAGAAATTAATAATGAAATAAAAGAATCTCCTTCTCAAGTAGCTATTTTGTCTATTGAAAATAATATTGGTGAAGAAAAAGGAATAGAACTTCAAATAAATAATAAAGTTACTAAAACATCTATGAATTTAAATGATGATAATTGTTGGAATAATCCAATGTTAGCAATAGAAAGATTTCAAATATTTTGTAGAGAATTTATTATTAAATATAAACAAATTGTTAGAGGCATCCTATTAATTGGTATTTTGTTGGGTTATCATTTATTTTTAGGTAAATAGATAAATATTTTTAAAAGTGTTTTATTCTTCTGTGAAGGTTTTGGGAAGTCTTTTGGAAAAATAAATGCCTTATTAAAGATGAGGTTTTATTCTCATTCCAAGGGACTCCATCTGTTTTATTTCAACTTCAAATAGATTATAGGGAACCTCTCTCAAAAATGCCACTTTCTTTCGAAGGTTCAGAAAAAAATAAAAAATCTTTTTTAAATAGAAATTTTTAAATTAAAGTTTTGGCACTTTTACACGATTCAAATAAATCATTTAATCTTGCTATATTTACTTCAATATGTTGGCTTTATATTTTTTATAGAAAATTTCTGTTACCTTTTTTGAAAGCAAGAACTAAAATAATAACTAGAAGAAGACAATATGCTCAATTTTATTCCTTTACTGAAGCTATTAAAAATAATAAATCTTTAATAAGGCATTAAATATATATTTTTTAATTTATTTAATTTAAAATATATGTAGATTGTGCAATTTATTTGGATTTCTCATTCCACTTTCTTATATGATTTGGGATTGCAGAAAGTAAAAAATAAAAAAATATTTAATTAATTAAGAATACTTAAGTAAGAATACATATATTTTTTAATTAAAAATCTGCATTATTAAAATTAATATATTTTGGTGTTCCGAACGGTCAAAAACCCCCTATTGGGGCACTGAATTTTGTATTAGTTTCGGATTCATGCGATTAAAATATTTAAATTTATTTTTTAGTGCTCCACATCGCCTTTCTGGATTAGTTGGTCTTTGTTTTTTCGTAATTATACTTTGCCTTTGCTCTCACAAACCTTCTAAAGTAAATTAATATAAAAAATATTACTAATAGAGTTCTAGCTCTAATTATTAATTATAAATATATGTATAAAATGTTTAGATTAAATGGCGTCCTGTACTTTGGGGATTTTTGCTACAATTTATTTTTGGAATTATTGTATTACGTTGGGTTAGTTCTGAAAGTATTTGAATTCTTCAATTAATGTTATTATTAGGATTGGGGTGCAAATAAATTCAGCGAGATTTCTAATTTAATTATTTCAATACTTGATTTTACTTTCCATGGAACTGATTTTGTATATGGATTTTTGTCATCCCCACCAAATATTTGTGGAATGCATCCAGTATTAGCTTTTAAGGTTTCCTGATTAATTTTTATTTAAAAGAATGAAATTAATTATTATGTAAATTAGATTTCTTTAAATTAATCATATTTTTACATCATACAATACTCTCATTTTCCTTAAGATTCTCCAAGTAATTATTTATGTTGGTGCTCTTGTCTCTGTTCTTTATTTTTATGGAATTATTCAAGCAGTCCTAAAAAGATTAGCTTGGTTAATGCAATTTACTATGGGGACAACAGCCACAGAATCTTTAAATGCTTGTGGTTGTGTTCTTTTAGGAAATGTATTTTTCTTAATTAAAAATATTTTTAAAAAATATATTTTTAAGGCAGAATCTCCACTGCTTATTCGTCCTTATATAGAAAAAATGACTAATTCTGAATTACATGCAATCATTACTACTGGGTTAATAGATATTCTTAATACATACATATGTATATTAATTTGATTGTTTCAGTTTTTCATGTATTGCTGGTGCCGTCTTTGCTGTATTCATTAGTTTTGGTGCTTGTCCTCGTTATTTACTCTCAGCTGCGGTAATGGGCGCCCCCGGCTCATTAGCCTGCTCAAAACTTCTTTATCCAGAAACTGAGGAATCTACAACTAAAGGGGTTGATGATTTGGATTTACCGCCGAGGTAATTTTACATTTCGCTTATAATGAGTGTGTTAAAAAAATTTTCTGACCTAATTTATAGTCTAACTTTTTTAAGTGAAAAGAAGAATGCAATGGAATCTATTTCTTCTGGATCAACAGAGGCTATTCATTTAGTCAATTGTTTAGTTGCTAGTATGATTACTTTTATTTCACTTACTGCATTAATAAGTGGAATTATTGAATATGCGGGTTCCTTATTAGGTTATCCGGGATGGAGTTTGGAGTTATTATTTGGATATGCGCTTTTTCCTATTGCTTATTTAATTGGTGTTACTGATGGTATGGATCAAGCTTTAGTATGTTAATATAAAGATTAAAATGATTGGTTATAAATAGGGGGTGGCAAAATATTCACGGGAAATCCCAAAATAAGCAATGCAATATGCAAAATTTATTGAAATTTATAAAAAAATAATTTTTGTTTTAAGCTTGTCGGAAGACTCCTAGGTATAAAAATTGCAGTCAGTGACCTTCTCTCCTTCAAACAACTTGGTGAAATTCTTCATCTTTTGACGGTTTCTAAAAGAATATTTAAAATATTATTAGTAAATATTGTTTACAGCCTCGTACAGCAATGATTGCAACATATTCACTTTGCAGTTTTAGCAATTTAATTTCAGCTGGTGCACAAATGGCTATAATTGGAGGAATTGCACCTAAGACAAAACCTGTAATTTCTAAATTAATTATGAGTGCTCTTTTTGGAGGAAATATTACTTGCTTTATTTCTGCTTGTATTGCTGGTAAACAAAGCAAAACTTTACATAAAATATAATTTATATTTTTAGGTATTTTAATAGAAGATCCAATACTTTGTCAGAAAACATATGGCATTCAATCAGAAAATTGTTTTGATTTAAATTTACATCAAAAATTTATGGAGGAAATTATTAGACAAAGAAATATTACTCTTAATTAATTAATTTTTTACATATTATTTTTAATATTTACATATCAACATTTGGCCTGGTATAAGATACGGATAATATCCTGATACCCGCGGATACGTCGGATATGGATATGAAGGTCATATCCGCTGGATATTCAAATTATCCGCAATATGTATATTTATCTAAGATCTAATTTTTAATATTTTTCCAACATTTGTAAAACATGTAATAATTAAAGGATTAAAAATATGACTGGATAAGCTAATGTAAGGGGCTAACAGTAAGACCAATTTTTACAAAAAGAGTGTGCTATGTGAAAGAAATCATGTTTAATTTATTTTAATATGAATTTAAGTACATTATTTTTAAATAAAATTTTTATTGTGTGATAAATAATAATAAAACGATTCAAAAATTAGCCAAAACTTTCTCTACTATGACTTTCATGACTACGACGACCTCCTCCACCTGTTCTCCATGGCCGCCAACCGACTGGACGTATTCCATAGCCTGCTCCCATGTTCATCCATCCTCCTCCACTTCCATATCCATTACATCCGCCGTAACCACAAGGGCCATATCTATATGTACCACCACCCCAACCGCCAAAACGTTTTGGCCTAAATTTTATAAAAATTTTATTTAAAAAAATAAGAATTTTAGTAAAGCATTTCTTTGTTTAAAATGGTAAGTTTAAAATTTACTACCTTCCTTCATTGTTATCAGAATTGGTTTCTGTCGAATTAATTAAGTTAATATAAATAACTAATAATGTAAAGATAAAAGGTATTGAGATTTTTAGTTTTGTCATAATAATATTAATTAATAATTTTCTCTAAAATTTCTGGTATATTTTGACATTGTTTGGAATTAATTGGAATTAATTTGGAATTAATCTTTATTTAAATTATCCGTCATTAACTTTCATCTCTTTACAGGGTGGTAAAGCTTGTTAGTAGTGATGGTATAACTCTGGAGCTTCGGAAAAAAGATCTGAAAGAGGCCGTGGCAAAGATTTGAAATTTAGTTTTATTATTTAAAACAAAAATATTATTTTCTGAAAATATTATTAAAAGTATTCACCAAAATCTAGGTAAATATTTAGAATTTAAATTTTTAAATGATTTTGTAATTATATATAGTATTTTCTACATGAATGAATTAATTGAGAAAAAAATATTTAATTTTAACTTAATACTTATTTAACGAATAATTTAATTAAAAAGTTTAAAATTTAAAAAATATTATTTAATCGGCGAATTAATTATTTAAATATGTACATATTTAGATCAGTATTTAACGAATAAAATATTTTTGTTAAACTTTAATTTATTATTTCTAGAAGACAATCATCTATAATTTGTAGATCAAAGTTAAAATTTTTTAACTTTCAAAAACTAAAATTCAGCCAGTATTTTACTAAAATCTTAGAGGCGGCCTTTAAGAAAGGCGGCTTTTAAGAAATCACATAAACAAAATTTAAAATTAAAAAATCAATATCGTATTAGATAAAAATTTACTAAAGTGCAAACTTGTCAGTCTGTCAATAATATTTTTATTGAATAATTTTATTTTTGAATATTTTGTATTTTGACAAAGTGCTATATTGCGTTATTTATTTCTTAATAATTTTTTTTTAATTTTATTAAAACATATGTACATATGTTCATAAATATAAATAATTAATAACTTCCCCTAAGAATTTTAAGTTTGCAGGTTTCATGAATTTTATCCAAGAAACCCTATTCTAATGAAAATTAAAAACATGTAGGCATACATAGTCAATTAGTTTCCACAATTCAACCCTTTTTTGTTGAATTTCATAATAGAGTTTAATTACATACAAAAATTTTATCTCTCGTTATATTTACTATACATATTTGTTATACACAATCTAATAATTAATTGCTTTTAGAAAAATCCCAACATCAAAAAAAATATTAATTTTTTATTCCATAATTTATTAAATAAATTAAAAAAATGTTTTCAAAAAATTTATTTCTTGTTCAATTTATTTTTCATTTATTTTATTTAACTTTATCAAATATTCAAAATGATGAACAATTTATTATTGAAAATCAAGGTTATGGATATATTAATATAAAAAGAATTGAATTTAATAATTATTTAAATAAAAATATTTTAAAAATAATTTTGGAAATAACCAATTCTGTCAGAGCAATTTTTGTAGTTCCAAATAAAGGATATAAAACACCATATTTTAATAGAGGACAATCAAATAAAAAAATTTATTATGTTGGGAAATCAAATTTAAGGGATGGAAATACAGAAATAAATATTGTTGAAGATTTTGATAATAATTATAGAGAGGGGATTGTTATTTGTGGAAGATTGATAAATAAAAGAATTTTTGTGGTAATTTGGAAATTTAAATAAAAATAAATTAATATTTTCTGATAAATATGTAGAGTTTTAATGAAATAATAATAATAAATTGGGCATACTTAATATGTATATACCAGGGATCCTGCCGACAAAAAATAACAAAATTCCCGATTCGGGAAATCGGGATCCCAACCCAAAAAATCGTCGGGAATTCCCGATTTTTGGGAATCGGGACGGCAGAATCCCTAATACATATCATCATAATTTAATTATATTATTTTTAATTAAATTTATTTTAATTAAATTTAAATTAATTTTTATAGACATTAATGAGAATTAAACCGCTCTTTCACAATAAATTATATATTGAACCAAAAGAGGTTGATGAAGATTTTGATAATTTTAAATTAATGAAATTTGAATGGTTTTTGGATTTTAAAAATCAAAAAAATAATTTAATTAAAATTTGTTTAAAATTTAAAAATAAAGGAGAATATTTAATTAATTTAGCAACTGAACTTTTAAATAACAAATTATTAGAATTTAATTTTAAAATTGATAAAGAAATGTTAATTAACTGTAAAATATTTAATGAAAAAATTGAAGAAAGTGAATTAATTAAATTAAAAGAAAAAATATTTATTTATTATTATAAAATTAATGAAGAAATTAATTTTGAGGAATATAATGTTGAGGACGATAGTATTTTGTTATTAAATATTACAGAAATTGAACCTTTAATTTCTGATGGAATTTATGAATTTTATTTTGAAAATAATGGAAATATTAAACAAAAAAAGGAAAATATAATTAAATATTTAAATAAAAGAGAATTAAATAAAACAAATAAAAATAAAATACTTCCTTTATTTAAAGAAGAATTGGATATTCTTATTGATGGAAATTATTTTAAAAGGAATAAAAATGGAAAAATTGAAAAATTAAAAGCAAGTTTAGAAAATGAAGAAAATTAATTATGAAAATAAAATTATTAAATATTTGGGGAAAAAATAGACATGAAAATAAAGTATTTCACAAGTTTAAAGATTTTTTCTGTTAACCTAAACAAAATTAAAACTCTTAGAAATTTCCTCGTACTTGCGATAAGTAACAAAATATACCTGTTATAATGTTCTTTAATATTTAAATATAAATAACTTTATATGAAAATATATTCATTAATTGTATAAATTCCTTAGTAATACATTAATAATTAATTGTTTTGTAAAATTAAAAAATTATTTTTCTATATTTATTATTGTTAATGTCAAATTAACAAAAAAATTCAAAAAAATCAATTTGTATTTTATTTCCTTATTTGTTTAGTTAGCTGCATAAGGAATTACTGGATGATTGGAAGTTTATTTTAAAATATAAATTATTTTTTTAAAAAATTAAAAATGTTTTTAAGTATGTATATTAAGCTTATTTGATATTTAATTTTATTTAATTAATTTTATTTTTTATTGACTTTTACAACAAACAATTAATATCTAATGTTATTTAGCTTACAAGATTTATCAAGCTTATAACGTGCATATTAGGCTCAAATTATGTTTGTCTTACCAACTATTTTTTATCTAATCAAGCCTCCTCCCCCCTCATCTTATCCATAACCTAATACCGTGATTTGACCTGTGCGAGAGTGTTAATATTTTTTATTACATATATGTATACATATGCAAAATTTTGACTGCCGTTTCTCATTTTTAATTTTTAAAAATCATGTGCATTTTCTAAAAAGACCAAAAATCGTTATAAATAAAATTTCAATATTTCTATAATTGTAGCAAAAAATTTTATTGAGGGATTATCCTTTCAAATTTTATAATAATAGGCAGTAGTTGTGACTAAAATGTTATATATCGGATTTATTTTAAATTGGCAAAATTATTTTACCGTTACCAAACATTTTTTTTTAATTTTTGCTCTTTATTCCAAAAATATGAAAAATCTCGATATAAAACAATTACGACTTTCCTATAAATAAATTCACACAATAATTTCTGTACATTCCTAGTTTAAAAGATCTTATATCTTTTTTATCACTCAAATGTGCATAAGAATTTGAAAGGAGATTAAAATAACACAATTTTCTATGTTTAACACAGTAACTCGTAGATGTATTTATAAATGTTCTTTTGACCGGTTTAATATTTTTATATTATAATTCTAATGAGATAATTTGAATTAAGAATTATCATTTATGTATTAGAATAAAAATATTAGAAAAATATTAAAATTTTGTCATAAAATAATTAAACAATTTTTAAGGCTAAAAATAAATGCAACTTTATTTTAAGTAAATCTCTTAGATTTCTTTGTAAAATATATTTAGTCGAGTTTCATTGCTAAATTTTTCTTAACTTCTAGTTTAATTTTTATTTAATATAAGTAAATTATAACTCAATATTTAGAGAAAGGATTAATTTTAGAAAAGAGGGAGAGTGAAATGATTTTTAAACTTAAATAAATATATTATTTAATTATTTGAGATAAATTTATTGGCAAACAATCAAATAGTTAATAGCTTTAAAAAGTTTCGTAATAAAAGAGGAAATTTTAGAAAAAAAATTTTCAATAATGTTGGAAGAGGTGTACTCATTTTAATATTTTTAATTTTTTAAATTAAATATTTATTAATTTAAAAAAACGAACAGGATAAAGAAAATTATCATGCATTTAATTTATTTATCCCTTTCTTCTTATTTTTAAATCCTCCTCCAAATATCAATTCCTTTTTTAGCTAGAGTGTTTTTCTCCAAATAATTAAATACTTTCTTCCTGACAAACTCCCTTCCTTCTACACCCCCACCCTCCATCCCCCCCCCCCTCTAATCATTAAATAATTGGCTCTTTAATTCATCAATAATTTTTTATTAATTTATCAATTCTCGCGCAACTCTCTGCCTTTACGTCAACACATTTTTACTTTATTTTGTGTTCATCGGCCAGTTTCCCCTAACAACATTTTTATTTATTTATGTACTAATATAATAAATATATTTATTTTTTATTTGTTAGCTATTTACATTTAAATATTTTTTAAAATTATAATTTATTTTTAAATTAATTACATATTATAAGTATTTTTAATGAAAATATAAAAACAAGTAAACATTTTAATTTAATTAAGTTTTAATTAAAAAACGATTAAAAAGTTTGAAAAAATATCTAAACGTAATTTTTAACAAAATATATTCCATTTTATTATTTTATATTTTTGAATTACAGATTTTTGTGTTTTCGTTTTTATTTATTTTTTAAATATAACATTAAAAAATATCAAACCTCCTTTCAATTTAAGGTAAACAAACAAATTTTATAAAGAGAATCAATCTAATTTTTAACAAAAATTTTCAAAAATTTATTTAAATCCAAACTTCTCTAAAATATTTATTTTTAATTAAAATGTCATCTAAAAAGCCGAAGGGAAAATTTTTTGATTCTGTTAGCGACAGCACAATTGACTTGCAAGAATTAAATATTAATTCTGACAATAATATAACATCAGAAGATACTAACAGCGAACAAACAAAAATAGTAATAAATTATATTTAAATTTTTTTTAATTAAAATATAAAATTATTTCCTCCCAATAAAATAGAACAAAAATATTTTTTTTAATTCCAATTAATTTTCAAACAAATATTAAAAGGCTGAAACAGAGAGAACAATATTAGAAACAAATGGAGGAGTATTATCCCCAACACCGTCTCAATTTAAAATTTTAACAATTGAGGGAAATGGAAATAAAAAGCCTATTAACTCCTCAAATAATTCAAGTGATGATGAGGATGATTGTTGGAATAATCCAATGTTGATAATAGAAACATTCCAAATAATTTGTAAAGAATTTGTTATTAAATACAAACAAGTTTTGAATGGAATTGTGAAACTTGGAATTTTGTTGGGTTATCATTTATTTTTAGGTAATTATAAATAAATAAAAATTAAATTAAATAGTAAATAATTAATTTAGAAAATCCCCCTTACAGATGTTTTTTTTGTAATTCTTTAATTTTTCATTAATTTTTCAACACCAATTAATTTATAAATTATTTGAATAAATTAAATATTTAGATTAGTATTTCTATGTAACACGTGTTAAAGCTAAGTAGTAAATAGATCCTAAAACTTTTGGATTATAGTAAAACCCCTCTCAAAGGTTCCCCTTTCTTTTGAAGGTGTTAGAAAAAAATTATTTTTAATAATAAAAATTTTTAAATTAAAGTTTTGGCACTTCTACATGATTCAAATAAATCATTTAATCTTGCTATCTTTACTTCAATATGTTGGCTTTATATTTTTTATAGAAAATTTCTGTTAACTTTTTTGAAAGCAAGAACTAAAATAATAACTAGAAGAAGACAATATGCTCAATTTTATTCTTTTACTGAAGCTATTAAAAATAATAAATCTTTAATAAGGCATTAAATATATTTCTTATTTTATTTTTTATTTAAAATATATGTAGATTGTGCAATTTATTTGGATTTCTTATTCCACTTTCTTATATGATTTGGGATTGCAGAAAGTAAAAAATAAATAAATATTTAATTAATTAATTCATTTCTAGTAGTGTTCATCGTTTATCTGGATTATTTGGTCTCACTTTTTTCTTTCTTTTAATGTGTCTTTGTTCTTATAAACCAACTAAAGTATTCTTTAAATAATCTTTTTTCTATTTAATTTTACAATAGATTAAATGGCGTCCTGTTCTTTGGGGATTTTTGCTACAATTTATTTTTGGAATTATTGTATTACGTTGGGTTAGTTAAATAAAATTAAAATTTTAAATTCAAATCCCTCTTATTTAAAATCTAGGAATGGGGTGCCAGTCGTTTTATTGAATTATCTGATATGGCTATGATAATGCTAGATTTCACTTATAATGGAACAGATTTTACTTATGGTTTTCTTTCAACACCCCCAAATATTTGTGGAATGGAGGCAGTTGTTGCTTTTAGGGTAAGGGAATCTCTTACTATTTTTTAGGAAAATAAAAATATTTTTAAAGTTTCTCCAAGTAATTATTTATGTTGGTGCTCTTGTCTCTGTTCTTTATTTTTATGGAATTATTCAAGCAGTTCTAAAAAGATTAGCTTGGTTAATGCAATTTACTATGGGGACAACAGCCACAGAATCTTTAAATGCTTGTGGTTGTGTTCTTTTAGGAAATGTATTTTTCTTAATTAAAAATATTAAAAAAAATATTTTTAAGGCAGAATCTCCTATGCTTATTCGTCCTTATATTGAGAAAATGACTAATTCTGAGTTACATGCAATTATGACTACAGGGTAATTTGTTTAGATTTTGATTAATAAATTAATTAAATAAATGGATAGACAATAATTAAAATATTGTTTTAGCTTTTCGTGTATTGCCGGTTCTGTTTTTGCCGTATTTATTAGTTTCGGTGCTTGTCCTCGTTATTTACTCTCAGCTGCAGTAATGGGTGCCCCAGGCTCTTTAGCCTGCTCAAAACTTCTCTATCCAGAAACTGAGGAATCTATAACTAAAGGAGTTGATGATTTGGATTTACCGCCAAGGTGTGTATTCCTCACAAAGAATTTTTAAATTAAAGCAAAAAAAATTTAAGTAAAGAAAGGAATGCAATGGAATGTGTGGCTTCCGGTTCTTTAGAAGCCGTTCATTTAGTCACTGCCGTACTTGCTAGTCTAATTTCCTTTGTAGCTATTATGGCTCTTTTAAGTGGTGTGATTGATTATGCCGGCACTTTAATTGGGCATCCAGGGTGGAGTTTGGAGATGTTATTTGGATATGCCTTTTTCCCTATTGCCTACTTAATTGGAGTTACAGAATTCGAACAAGCTTTGGTTTTTAATGATAAAATAATTTGTATTTTTAAAAATTAATTTTTAGATAGTTGGAAGGTTATTGGGTGTAAAAATAGCAGTCAGCGATTTTATAGCTTATAAAAGACTTGGAGAAGTTCTCCATCTTTTAACGGTTTTAAAATTTCTTTAGATTTAAATTAATTAAATAATTAGCCTCGTTCTGCAATGATTGCAACTTATGCTTTATGTAGCTTTAGTAATTTTATTGCTGCTGGTGTACAAATGTCAGTACTTGGTGGAATGTCTCCCCAAAAGAAACCTTTAATCTCTAAATTAATTATGCGTGCTTTAATGGCTGGTTGTATTTCTTGTTTTGTTTCTGCTTGTATTGCTGGTAAATTAAATATTTTATTTGAAAATACATCAGCTAATTTTCATTCCCTTAAACTCTTATAGTGAAAATTAAGTATTTTGCTTGTAATTTTAAAATTTATTCGCCCTTTGAATCTGATCTCCGAACTGTTCGTGATAATCTTAGCTATTATTCGACGATTATTAGAATGATTCCACCTACCCTTTTTTGAAATTAGTTAGATTTTCCTCTAGCACCGAAGGTGAAATTTTTAATTGTTAAACACAAATGGAAAATTTTTGACTAATTAAGAAAAATGATTTTTATTATGAATAATGGAAGTTAAATAAAAAGATCCCTTACCCAAACCATTAAATTAAATGTACATTCTAGGTTCTAAGCTTTAATTCTAAGCTTTTAATTAATATATTTTAGGTATTTTAATAGAAGATCCAATACTTTGCCAAAGAACATATGGCACAAATTCTGGGAAATGTTTTGATATAAATGAACACCAAAGATTTATGGAAGAAATTATTAAACAGAGAAATATTACTGGAAATATTATTTAAATATTTTGTAATTTTAATTTTTTTATTTTACGATATTGCTTTAAAATATTTTTGTATAATATATTTTCTATTAATATTAGAAATAAAATTAAATTACTTTAAAAATATTTTTATTGTTTTTTAAATTATTTATTTTTCCATAATACAATTTTCCAATAAATTTTGTCAAATTCATTCAATATTTAAAAAAAAATTTTTTTTAATTAATTTATATTTAGAATTCAGAACTGTTCGTGATAAAATTAGAATAATAAATAGTAGATAATCTTGATTAATTTTGGTTTCCTAATTAATTTTTTTAATTTAAGCACTAAAATCTTTATTTAGGTATTTTAGAAAAATTATAAAATGCTTTAAAGAATTTCATATTTATGTTAAAAATGTTTTGAAATTATTTATGTCTAATTTAACCGGAAAACTTAAAATAAAGATATAGAAAATAAAAAAATAAATCTCTCTCATATTTTTTAAAATTTTATTTACAAAATTTAAACATTATCAACATTATTTTCTTCGTTTCCATTTTTAATTTGTAAAGGTTCGTAGGCAAACATTGAAGACTTTGTTGTTGTTTTAACCCAATGTAAATCATTCCAATTAGAAATATTTAATAACATTAAAATTCCAATAATTAACGGCACAGTTATTAATAAAATTGGAAGCAAAAATAGTGAAAAATTAATTGAATTATTTGTTTCTGTTTTAATTTTTGAAGAAAATTTTGATGGACAATTTTGAGGGAAATTATTAGAAGAAGTTGTTTGAATAAAATCTAGAGCCTCTAAAGGGTGTTGCCAATGAAAATTTGTTGAGCTATTTAATTTAGGAACACAAATATAGCCTTTAGGCTTCTGAAAAAAATTTTATTTTAAAACTAAATAATTTTTTTAAATTTCAAAATTTAAAAAAATAATTAATAAAAATATTAGGTAAATTAATTATTAACAGAAAAATTAAAATTAATTTAATATACCTCCAATTCTCCAACTATTTTTATTAAACGTTCAGGCATAGGACAAGCACAATCTAACGGATTCCCGTCTACTTTTAATCCTGATATTCTTTCAATTTGTGTTTCACTCCAATCCCAGCCCAATTTATTCAACGAATTATTTCGAAAATCATATTCGAGAAATCTCTAAATAAAAAATTTATTTTTGTTTTTTACACAATTTTGTGGTTAGATATTTAAATATCATAGTAAGAAAGTTACTAAAAGTTATAAAGTCTAAAATAACATAGAGGGATTTAATATTTTTTGCGAAAAATGTTAAATTAATTATAATTAGAGTTATTCTAACGGTTAAGGTTGACGTTTTTGCCGTTTTTCCGGCTTGGGTTTTTCGAGTTTGGAGGTTTCCGCGTCGATTCATTCGAGTCTTTTCGGGCTAAACAGCTCAGGCTTTAAAAACACCCCTAATTATAGTATATCATTTATCTAAACGTGTTTTTAAATATTTAAATAAATATATTTACATTAGTTGGCAATAAATATCCCGGAACTTCAGTTAATTTATTTCCACATAACTCAAGAGATCTAAGGACCAAAAACTTGCTAAAATCGGGCATTTCTTTAAGTAAACAATTATTTAATTTAATAAACATTAATTTAAAATTTGTTTTTCTTTTATTAATTTGAATATTAATTCCTTTGTTTTGATTTAAATATAAAAACACTAATGAAGGTAACCACTCAAATGAATTAAATATTTTTAATTGATTATTTGATAAATCAAGAACTTCAATTGAAGGAAGTTCTTCTTTAATTGAACTGCCGAATTTTTGGAGTTGATTATTTGATAGATTTAGATAGGCGAGTTTTGTTGGTATATTTGTTAGTGAAGATTCTAACTAGAAATTTGTTAAATATATTTTGAAGGGCAAGCAAAAATTTGTTCCTTTTTTAGAGGGCAAAGTAAAAAATAAAAACTACCAAACAAAAAATAAAATCAAAAATAAATTCAACATGCCTCGAAACTTTTAAGTCTATTTCCAGACAAATCCAATTGTTCCAGACAAGGAAATAATGTCATTAATAACTTTCCATTTTCTGGTAAATAGTCAATTAAATTGTTTGCCAAATTTAAAGTGATCAATGAATGGCTGACATCTAAAAGACTTTCTGGCCATTCTTTATAGAGATTTGAATTTAAAGAAATTGATAAAAGTTTCTCTGGTCCAGAAGATTCGCCGAAAATTAAACGGTCAAATTTGTTATTATCTGCATGTAGCCATTTAAGCTTTTTACATCCTCTAAAATTATTAATAAATTATTACTCTTTTGATTATTAGTAGGAGTATTCCACGGAAGTAATGACAAGGTTAACTATAAGAAAAATACAAAGAAAAACCTTAAATTTAATTCATAACCAACTCCAATATTTCCAATTTCAAGCAATTCCATATTTAACGAGCAAAATGTCCAAGGATTATTTTTTAAATTTAATTCAATATTATTTTCAGTTGAATTATTTAAATAAAAATTGTTTTTAATTGTTGATTTAAATATTTTTGTATTTTTTAATTTAAATTGTTTTAATTTAGTTTCTGGTCGTTTAATCCATTCAAAAAAGAATTCTTCGGGGAAATAACCTCCATTAGAAAAATCAAATATTTCAAGTGAGGCTATATTCTCTAATGAATTCGGATGAATTCTAATATCCTTATTTTGATAAACACGTAATTCTTTCAAAACTTTCCAATTATTTTGAGAAAAAGGTAAAATACAAATAATATCTGATGAATTTGTTGTCTTTGAATTTTTCTGAAAATTTAATAAATTAATAATTAGTTTTAAATATACAGGAGAAGATACTTGCGGCCAGACATTTTTCGGTTATTTATTTTGAGGAGGGGGGGGGGGCTAACTATTTGTGTTCCCTTCTAAGTAATTTATTAACATTATTAAATCCTCTAACCATTTTAAATTTCCATTCATTTTCATTTATTTCAATAAATTCACTTTGCATTTCAATAATGTGAATTTGACGTGAAAGAGGTAAAGATGGCATAAATATATTTGTTGATTTAACAACTTCACTTGTATTAAAAGAGCAAAAAGGATTTCTTGAAATAACCAAACTGTCGAGTATTTGCCCTTTACTTCCTAATTGCCCTCCAATTCCTTCCAATCCGTTAATTTTATTTCCACTCAAATCTAAAACTTTTAAATTTCTCATAGTCTGAAGAACATTTTTTGGAAGTTTTTCAATTAAATTGTCAGACAAAATTAATTCTTCAATTCCAGGAAGTGGTTGAAATGCTAATGGATGTATGAATTGAAGGTTTGAATGCTTAATTTGAAGTTTTTTAAGACCAGAATGCATGGAAAAATGGGGAAATTCTGATTGACTTAAATTAAATGCTTCAAATGTCTCAGCCCATTCTGGAAGTCTTACCTTTAAATAATTAATTTAAAAAATTTAAATTAATTAAATAACCATATTTAATCTAAATTCTTCTCCATCTCCTTTAAAACAATCAACAATTTTCAGTTCTTTATAGCATATACAAACTTGACAAATTGGATATTCATTATTTAATTCTTGGGTTGTTATTATATATTTTATATTTAAAAATAATATAAATATTAAGAAACAAAACATTTTTATGAACCAAAAATAAAATATAAATGTTGATTTGTGAAAAAAAATAATTGATAATTGTCACAAATTTACAAATAGGTAAATAGATAAAATAAAATAATTGATTTCAGCTTAAAAATTATCAGTTTAGTTATTTAAATAAACAAAATATTTATTCACTAAATTATTTAAAATTAAAACTAAAGTAAATAAATAAAGTAAATTTTAAATTATGTATAAGCAGAGGCGGGTCGGAACAGTCAGAGGTGTCGGAAATCGGAAGAGCCGGAAATCGGAACCACCTCTGATTATAAGTTAATCCTAAAAATTAAAAAAAAAGATTAAAAAACTTAAGATAAATCTTCGTAATGCTTAACTTAAAAATAAAATGTCAATAAATAATTTAAAGGATTTCCAAAATATTCTTTCCTTTCAACGCCTTTATACATATTTAAGTTCGGTACACCTCAATTGAGTCCGCACGATTGAGTCCCCACGATTGAGTCCGCACGATTGAGTCCCCACGATTGAGTCCCGGCACAATTGAGTCCCCACGATTGAGTCCGCACGATTGAGTCCCCGTTGTATATACCTCAATTGAGTCCCCGTGGATTTAATTATGGATTTAATTATATTGTGGATTTAATTATATTAAAAAAGATTAAGAGGGATATTTGGGGATTTGGAGGGATTAATGTTAATATCAGGGGACTTGTATGCGACATCGAGGTATCAAGATGGATATTGGTGAATATCAAGGGATATAAGTAGATTTAAGCGGGGATATCGGTTGAATTAAGGCAGATATCAACAAATTCGGAGAGATTAAGATGGATATTGTGGGTTTGGGGATTAGGAGGGATATCGAGAGATTTTTTGAATGACAGCTCATTCGAAAGTAGTGAGTCGAATGACACGAAAATCAACATTGTTGAACAAGTTCTCGCCGAGATATGGGGCTCGAAATGGTGGATTTTTTGGTGGAATTCCATGGGGAATTTTTGTTGCGAAACATTCGAATAAACAAAAAATAGCTCATTCGAAAGGGATCGACGAGATGAGTTGAATAAGACCAAAATCAAGTTGATTGAATGATTCTGAACAAATTTTGACCAACAGAATCTTCGCTGGAAAAACTTTTTGTGCTGCTATGGAGGGTAGGGGAAACTATCTAAATTACGAACGTAAAAACTCCTTCCTAATTTCCGGACTCCGGCAGAATTTACCTGGATACGGGAGAAAATCAAAATGTGAAAAAAAAATAAAAAAATATTTTTTAAAAATTTTATCAAAAAAATTAAAAAAAACCAAAGTCTAGCTTCAATTAGTGTGCCAAAGAAGGGCCTTTCTTTCGTTATTTGTTCTCCTAAGTTCACCACCTTCGTTCCTTCAGAAACTGTGAACTTGAAAATCGCCAGTCAGAAACTGACGAAAATCAACTAAAAAATTTTAAAAATAAAAACGAAAAACAAAATAAAAATTCCAAACCTTTTCAAATTTCCCATCGTTGCAGCCGTGGGATGAAGTCCGACACGTGATGAGCAAAGTTAGACCAACCTGAAATATAAAATCTAAAATTAAAAAATAAAAATTAAACTTTTACCTACACAAGATTCTCGTCCTCCCTCTCGTCCTCATTGAGAAAATTCAGTGCTCGGATGGACTTGAGTGGATGCTCGGTCAACTAATTAACAAAATTAGTTGCAAACCCCAAAAGAAAAACAAAAAAATAAAAAAAAAACAATAAAAAAATCTAGGAAAATAATGCGGGTACACAAACGTCCCCCTTTGGGTGGGTACACAACCGGCGGTACACAAACGGCCGGTACACAAGTGTCCCCTACCGGGAATTTTTAAAATTAAATCCACGGGGACTCAATTGAGGTATATACAACGGGGACTCAATCGTGCGGACTCAATCGTGGGGACTCAATTGTGCCGGGACTCAATCGTGGGGACTCAATCGTGCGGACTCAATCGTGGGGACTCAATCGTGCGGACTCAGTTGAACTGCTCCGATTTAAGTTGGCATAAAAATAAACCAAAAAGTGTTTTGTCAATTTCTCTCTCTTCTTTCTTCCAGACTTTAACAACAAATTGAACGAATAACAACACAAAAAGCACCAAAAATGCCGGAAAAGGGGGAAAAATCTTTCACCAAAAAATTTTAAAAGGGAAAAACTAGTCCAAGAAACATAAAAAATAAATTTTTTCTTTAAAAAATGTCTTAACTTTTCCATTTTTTATATAAAGTTTCCTCTATCTGTTCTGCTTCCTTTTTAAATTTATGAATAAAATTTAAATAAAAAAACTTTATTATATGTATTCACAAAAAATTAATTTTGGCAATTTTCATTTTTTGTTACAATTTAATGTCGAGTTAAAAATTTAAATTTTAAAAAGAAAAATTTCTTTTTTATTTATTCTAATTATTTTTAAAAAATATCACAAAATTTGTTTTGAACTTTTCTGTCTATACATAATCGCTTAAAATTATTAAGTTTTATTCTCCCTCTTCCAGAAATTATTTTAAAAAATTTTACTAATTTAATATTATTTGGGAATATTTTTCCAATTAAAGAAAGATTTAATTTCACAAGCATTTCACTGAAAAAAGAACATAAAGCCGTTATATGTATAATAAGTCCATTCTAACAAAAATACTTATATATTTATTATTTTTTATTAATTTTCTAAAGTTTATCTACGTCTTCTTATTAGTTATTTTTAAAATATATTTTTATAATTTTTTATAAAATAAAAAAAAATAAAATTACTTCCGGTACATACTTATAATTTTAAAATTCCATTAATTAAAAATTTTCTTTTCAATTATTTTAAATAATACATTAACACAAAACTAGTATATTTAATTTAAAATTAATTTTAAGAAATTCTTGTATATATTTAATAATTTTAAGACAAATTTAATGAACCTTTCAATGATCGCGTGCCGAACATTTTTTTTAAAATATAATTATTTATTTAAATATTTTTGTGTTACCATTGACAACAATTAAT